GGTGGTTTTGGTTCAGGGTCTCTTATGAGGTTAGTTATGCTGTTGGCTGGGCTGGAGTCATCTCAAGGGGGTCAAAGGATTTGTTTCTAAACACTCATGTGGTTGTTGGCAAGTTTTAGTTCCTTATCGGTTGTTAGATTTCATTTCCTTGGCACATAGGCTTCTCTATAGGCTGCCAGAATGTCCTATGACATGATAGCTGGCATCTCTCAGTGATTCAAGAGAGTATGCATAAGGAAGTCCCAATGCCTTTTATGATAGTCTCAGAGTCACAGTCTCACTTCCACCTTTGGGAAGTCTCCAAAGATGTGCACTATAGAAATTGGTGGTCGTTTGGAAGACAGGAGAGAGGTAAAACTTAATAAAGAAAGACCAGTTAAATAATCTCTTTCAAAAGTTCAGATAAGAGATTATGAGTGAATGATTAAGAGAATGGCTAAAAAATGGGAGCGGTAAGGCTGGATCCTAGACATATTTAGAAGGTAAAATATGCAAGATCTGGTAATAGTTGTGTAGGGAAGAAAAGGTAAAAGATATCAGGCTTGGCAACTTAGTAGTGGTACTATTTCCTCAAATTATGCACTTATTTATTTAAATATAGCCTTTTAAAAAATGTTTTTATTGATTTGAGAGAGAGGAAGGAAGAGGGATAGAAATAGAAACATGTATGAGAGAGAAACATCAATCAGTAGCCTCATGCACCCCCCACACCAGGGATGGAGCCTGCAACCCAGGCATGTGCCCTGACCAGAAATGGAATCGGTGACCTCTTTGTTTATGGGTCAACAGTCAACCACCGAGCCACATTGGCTGGACAAAAGTCAGCCAGCCTTTTAATTAGCATTGTAAAAAAAATCTTTCTATGAAAAAATTTTAAAACTATGAAATGACATAAAAATAACTGTAAAAGTCACTTTTTAAAATCTTGTACATATCCAGTTAGTCCTTTGTGAACTTATAAATTTTTACAAAATTGGAATTATATTTTAAAGCTTTCTTAATATGATAAAATTTCCTCCATCGTTTTTAGAAGCTGAATACTGTTCTGCTGTATGGATATAGCTTATTTAACCAATATTCTAGTAAACAATGCAGTAATGAACACTTTTGCAATAAAATTGTTACACATATCCTTATGCTACATTTCCTTTAGAGTAATTGTCCTGTCAAATGCATATGCTCAAGGCTTTTGATACATATTGTTAAGCTGTACTCTAGAAATTTGCCAATTTATACTCTCAGTAGTATAAGAAACCGTTTCCCTGAACCCTTACCAGTATCATCATGTAATCACTTATTAAAATAACACCTGAAGACCAAATTAATGTGTAACATGTTACATCACTCATAAGTCTAACTTACTATTAAACTTTTAGATTACTATTCAAAGCTTAAGATTCATATATTTTAGCTGAAGAATCTGAGGTCCAGTAAGTTATAAAACAAACCAGAATGCTATATTGTGGGTGTTTCTGTAGAAGATATTTTGTAGTGCTCTTCCTGATTTGCTACTCTCTCACCAATTATGCTTTTTCCTGGCCCCCTGCAATAACCTTATAGGTTTCCCAGGAAAAGGTACATATTTCCATTATCAAGGGCTGGAAGCTTGGCATATTCTATTAGTTTAGCACTATTTTTCCTAGTTGTTTCCTAGCTTGAATTTCACATGTGTTGAAGAAAACCTTTCAACATATTAACTTTAAAAAAAGTCTACCTAATATTGGATAAGGATCTATTTCATTCATTCAACAGCTCATTTATTCCCAGTCTCATACATTCAACAGTACTTATCTAATGTCTTACCATGTGTGGGGGATAAAGCAGTGAATAAAACAAATGTAGTCCCTGCTCTCATAAAACTTACATTTTTAGTAGGGCGAAGGGAAACAATAAAGATATAATGACAAATTACAAATGCTATTAAAATAGAGGGTCATGTGGGACAAAATAAGTGAAAAAAGGAGCTACTTTAGATATGGTGGCCAGGGAAGAGTGTTAGAGATAATATCTGAGTTAAGACCTGAAGGATGAGAATAAGTTAGCCATAAAGACATAGAGAAAGCATATCTCAGGCAGAAATAAACAGTAAGTGCAAAGGTCCTATGGAGTATCAGTTAAGTTGAACTGAGTACAAGAGACCCTAAATTGTAGCTTTACTGACAAAAGTTTACTTTTTTCTTTATGTCAAAATTAATATAAGGAGTATAGGGCTGGTATGGTACTCCACAAGGGTCTCAAGGCCTCAGGTTTCCACCAGCTTAAGGTTTTGCCATCCCTATGATGTGGGAACCTGCACCTGGCCCAAACTGGCAGCTAGAGTTCAATGCTTCACATCTGTACTCCAGGGTGCAGGATATAAAAGGAAAAGCAGCAAAGGACTGAAGGTGTGTAAGAGCTGTCTTTGAACATGACATACCTGCTTATTGGCCAGAACTACCACATGGCTGTAGGGAGGCTGGAAATAGAGTCTTTATTCTGGATAGCCACGTGCCCATGTCTATTACTATGAAAAAAATCAGAAAAATTTTAAGGGACAACCAACAGTCTCTGCTATAGACTGGAAAAAGCTTGATATGTGACAGAGACAGAAAGGAAGAGTGAGAGCAAGATGAAGTTGGAGAGGTAGGCAGAAGCCAGATTATACAGTTTTAAAGGCCATGGTAAGGAAAATGAATTTTATTCTAAGGGTAGCCATTGGAGGTTAAAATAAGGAAGTACCATAGCCTCATGAGCTTTTTAAAATAATCACTCTAGCAGGTATGTAGAGATGGTTTGAAGGGGCACAGGGAAAAGTGGAAGCAGATAATGTGGATATTGCTCTTTAAGAGATGTAGTGTCTTGGACAGGATGGTGGCATGAGAGGTGATGTGAAGTGGCTGAATTTTGAATACATACAAGGAAGAGCTGATGGTACTGGATGATCAGTTGAGGTGAGGAATCAAAGAATATTCCTAGTTTTATGCCTGAAAAAGTGAGTGAACTGTTGGTAGTACTGTTTATGGAAGGGCAGTTTGAATCCAAATGTTTTTATTTTAGAGAGAGAGGAAAGGAGAAGGATAGAAACATCCATGAGAGAGAAACATTGAGATACATCAATTGGCTGCCTCCCTCCTGGGGATTGAGCCTGAAACCTGGACAGGGAATCAAGCTCACAACTCTCTGAGCATGGGATGACAACCAAGCGAGCCACAGAGGAGAATGAAGTACTTGTTAAATTTGAGATACCTATCCTTTTTACCCCTTACCATGATAAGATTTTCAGTAGTCTACATCTTTCAAGAATGTGAGGACTCCCTTTCCTATAACTAGTTATTTACAAACTCATTTTCTTCCCCTAGTGAGGATTTTTTCCCTCACTTTAAACCAGTAATTTTTCCATAAGGTACGCAAAAAAATTTACCTACACACATTTCAACACACAAAACACATACAAGGTGTGGACTGTTTTTCAGTAAAAGCCATCAAAGTGAATAGTTAAAAACACCACCTATCTACAAAATGGGTAAATTTGATCAATATTAGTAATAAAAATGGACTTTTTGATGCAATAGGACAATTTTAAAAAATATTCTATTTACAGTGCTTACTAGAAAACTATGAACATAGCTCTTAACAAATGTTAGCTCATTCAATACCTAGGACCAACCTCTATAGTAGACATTCAACAAGTTCTACAAATTTATTAACAGATTGGACACTAGTAATAGGATAATTTAAAACTTGTTCAACAAGACTTAAATTTATCCTAAAGTTTTCTCAAGAAAGAAATAGTGTCAGTGTATTTTTTCCTAGTGCTCCTATCCTACACATTTACCATGAAAATGTTTTATCTCAGTAAAATATCCAAGCTAACAAAACCGTCAAATTAGACCTGTTCCTTTCTGGAAGTGATTTCTCCAATTTTACCAACTTTTATGCTATTTAAAACGTGTTTTGAGTAAATATGGGGTTGTTAACAATAAGGTCCATCTTTTGGTCTTAACAAAGTCCTATATATAAGCAAACTAATGGATAAAGTGGTAATACTTGGTGCAACTATATAAATATGTCGGTACTAGAGGCCCAGTGCATGACATTCATGCACTGTGGGGGAGGGTCCCTCAGCCCAGCCTGCACTCTCTCTCAGTCCGGGACCCCACAGGGGATGTCCACCTGCTGGCTTAGGCCCACTCCCCACAGCTGGCAGTCAGACATCCCCGAGGGGTCTTTAGCACTGCTGTGGAGGCTGGAAAGGTACCTGCTGTGGCCACTGCATTCACCTGCATGAGCCTGGCTTCTGGCTGAGCAGTGCTCCCCCTGTGGGAGCACACTGACCACCAGGGGGCAGCTCCTGTGTTGAGTATCTGCCCCCTGGTGGTCAGTGCACATCATATCGACCAGTAGTTCCGCAATTCAGCCAATTTGCATATTAGGGTTTTATTATATAGGATTCACACACACACACACATATATAAAAAAACCATATCTCATTTTTATTATTCTAACTTATGATTCCAAATATCGTTATACTTTTAATTTATTAATAGATTAAAATGCTCAGTAATACGATAAATGTACATACATGTACTTATATACATGTATGTATGACATTCAGAGGCGTATTCAGTTTTTTTAACATGCCATCTTACAAAGCAGAAGGAAAAGTTCAAAAGGCAGGCAGAACTGTTGGGGAAAAGGTAGGGAAGAATATAAAGAAGTGTTCTTCCTCGACCTTTCCTAGCATGAAAAACACGGTGGAGCAGAATGTTTAGTGAAATGAATAACCATGTGAAACATTTTCCACTGGCCACAGCAGCACCATTTGGAGTTTAATTTACACAGTATCTAGTAATAGTTCAAAATACACTGCATTCCGTAAACAGGACAAAGACACCTTTTGTTTTATGCTTATATATTTTTTGTTATTTAAGAGCGACAGATAACCCTTTGCCCTTCTGTGGTGTATTTTAAATTGGGTTACTCTGAGTTTTTTGGAAGAAAAAGTTGATTTTACAAAAACAAACAAGAAAATTATAAATTTTATTTACTCCGAATCAACTGCACGTAGTTTACATTAATAAATTCCATCACTCAAATAGAAATAACAATTTTCACAACCCCAAAACACACGCATAGAGGGTCTTTTTAAGCCCAAAATGTCCACTAGTAACAAAAAGGGAAGAGTTTATCAATATAAAAGGGAACAGATTGATTACTTCAAAGAAAACAAATTTAATTTCACTCTTGAGTGGCAATTCTTTTTCTGGAAAGCAGAGACTTTTCATTCTCCTGAAGTTTCCACCAAAGCCACCATAATGTCCCACAGCCCTGCTGATACCGCAGCTAGTCATTCGCGGCGAGAGAAAATGCTATAAATCTAACAGCCTGCGCGAGTGCCCCCCAAAGTGCTTTAAAAACCTACTCCCCAATATGTTCCCTCCCACCAAGTTTAAAAAAAAAAAAAAAGGAAGGGTGGCGAGTAGAAAATCGCGGTGGTTGGGCAGAGGGGCACTCACTTCTCCGGAGGTGACGCGCTGCGGGTCCCCGAAGTGCGCGCCGGGGCCGCGGAGGATGCGGGGCTGCGGGA